TGCACTGATTCTCAGAAACACTTCTCAGAAGATTTTGCCTCACAATTCTGGTCTCTTTAATCATTGTCATTTTCTTAATTCCAACTAACCATATCAATTGTCCCAGTAAAGCAAAGGTTTTGATTGAGTGGTTCTGGTCTCTTGTTAATCACAGCTGACTCTTCAGCCTCAGTTAACCAGAACTATAGAATCTTAATTCAAAATTGCAAACATGCAACTTTCCCAATAGTCTAACTCAAACTTCCCTCTGGAACTTCACAAACCAGGCCTCCATCATCTGCATCTCTCTCAATATTCTTATCTTCTGAATGATTACATATAATACGCATTTCCACCAACTAGCACATTTAAAAATAGGTAGAAAGGATGTGGCGTCACAAGCCTGTAATCCCAGCACTTTGGAAAGGAACAATATCAAGAATTCAAGGTCATCTTCCACTACACACTGAGTCTAAGGCTGTATGAGATCTGCCTTAAACAAACAGCAATAACAAATCCACCAACCTGCTGGTTCTTGTGGCACATGCCCATAATTCCAGCATCCAGAATCCAGAAGCACAAAAACTGCCCATGTACCAGGCCAACACGGTCTATGTATTATAGACCAATCACCATTACAAAGTGAGACCCTGATTCAAACAAGTAAGTAAATAAATGGAAAATCTAGAAACAAGAATTAGGGGACATAGTTGCACATTATAAATGTCCTTAATTGTCAGGAGCATGCATCACAAGCTATTGTGGGCCATGATACAATTATAGCTTATAGCAATTGATAATTCAGATGTCAACCTGCCATGTAAATTATTCTCAGATGGAGGAATCCAGGCAGGGCCTTCGGGACCACTGACCCTGAAAACTATTGCTTTCATCTGTAATTTCATTTGTGCAATAACAGCTATGATATCTCCCCATTACCATGAACTTTCATGTAATGTGTGTATGTAATCTCATGATTGCATCTCAATCTTACAGGCACATATATCTGTGGATGGTCAGGAAGATGACTTTTCATTTAGCTATATAATTTTGATATATATAAAATATACTAGGACATGTTTTATAACTAGATCTACTTGTCCCATGACAACTGTAGACACTTAAAAGCCTGCTTTCTTCCTTTTAGCTCAGACTAACTGCATATAATTAGCTCATTTTCACCTCAAAGTAAGTTCAAACTAAATTAAAGGCTTTTTATAAAAGATAAAAGAAAGTTTGAAAAGGAGTTTCAAACTTTACAGCTATGCACAAGGTCAGAGACACAGATGTTCAACTTAGGTTGTTACACAAAGCACCCTACAAAAAAAAAAGCATGTCAATTCTTTGCTTGTCAAGTCTGCCAACAATAGAATTATGTCTCAAAGTTTGTCACTGAGCACTATGTCCCCCCCCATCTGAACACAGTCTTACTCTATGATGTGGGATGCCCCTCTGTATGCTGTGAATATTTTATTGTCATTGGTTAATAAAGAAGTTGATTTGGCCAATAGCCAGGAGTCAAGGGAGATGCCAGCAGTCATCAGAGAAGCAAGATGTGATAAGTCACAAGAGTTGTGGTAAAATATAGAATAAGAGAAATGGGTTAACTTGAAAGAGGTAGATAATAATAAGCCTGAACCATTGGTCAAGCAATTATAATTAGTATAAGCCCCTGAGTGTTTATTTGGGAACTGGTGGGCAGGAGAGAAACCTTCATTTACACTCTTGTAACCTTGGAACCTTGCATTGGCACGACAATGGCTCAACTCCCTACTGCTTACCCTAGGAATGTGCTTTTGACCAATGAGAGGTAACTCTTGTAATTTTTTATTATTGCTCCAAGCCTCCTTGGGGAGAGGGAGTTTTTAGGCTAGAGGGAGAAGAAGCTAGGAGAAATTAGAATTAGGACAGGAGACTTATAGAAGCAGAACAATAAAGAGACTGATTTGAAAAAGCATGGAGTGAGAGAGTTCATTTGTTCACCCTCAATTAGCCTAATAACAAAGTGCCTTTTGCTTGCTGTAGCATCCAGTTTGAACCCTGAAAAGAGTCTTGGGGCTGGACTGTAAAGACTTAATATCACATAATTGTGTACTTAAAAAATGATTGAAATGAAGCCAGGCAAGGTGCTCATGCCTATAATCCCAGTACTTGGGAGAAAAAGCAGGAAGATTGCTACAAAAATAAAATTAGCCTGATCATCAGGTTCCAGGCAAGCAAGGGCTACAAAATAAGACCTAGTCTCAAAAAAGTAAAAAAAGTTTGAGATTAAATACTTGTTATATATTTTATCACAATTTAAAAGAACAAATAGTGTAGTTAGCTAAAACCCACTGTATTAGGTAACAAATGAATAGAATAAAAATTACATCTCAAACTGTCAGTGGCTCAGTAAGTAAAGTACCTGCTTTTGAAAGCATGGGGATTGGAATTCAGATCCCCAGAAACCCCATAAAAATCTAGGGATTAGTGGTGCACACCTGTAATCCAGGTGGGATACAAGCAGATCCCTGGAAGCTTTCAAGCTAGCTATTGTGGTGTATGTGGTAAAGTTCCAAGCCAATGTGAAACTGTTTCAAACAAAACACGGAAAGCACCTGAGGACTAACACCTAAGGGCATCCTCTGACTTCCATAGGCTTATCTTATACATATGTACTCTGCCCCAACAATGTGTGTGGAGAGGGGTAAGTCCGGAGTGAATGTGTGTTGCTGACATGGGCACAGCTATGTCAAGGACCCAATGCCTTAGACCCATGGGAACAAAGCTTTCCCTGGTTGAGGCTCAGAGGAATTGGCAGAACCCAAATAATGAATGACCACAGAGATTTATATTATGAAAGCTCAACCTTTAGATTAGGCTTGTCTCAACAAGCTTTTTTTTTCCTAAATATAACTTTGCCTTTTTAAAAGATTTATTTATTATGTATACAACATTTGGCCTCCATGTATGCCTGCAGGCCAGAAGACGGCACCAGATCTCATTACAGATGGTTGTGAACCACCATGTGGTTGCTGGGAACTGAACTCAGGACCCCTGGAAGAGCGCTCAGTGCTCTTAATCCCTGAATCATCTCTCCAGCTCTCAACTAGCTTTTATTACTTAAATTAACCCATTTATATTAATCTACATTCTATCATGTGGCATTATGTTTCTTCCATCTTGTACCTCCTGTTTTCTCTCCACGTATCCTGGTAGCTCCTGCATGCCTAGACTCCTCCTCCTCTTCCTTTCTTTTCCTAGATATCCTGCCTAAACCTGCTACCTAGCTATTGGCCATTCAGCTTTTTATTACATCAATCATAGCAATATATCTTCACACAGAATACAAATATCCCATAAGGATTTACTATGCTATACTTTTATCATTATTTTAGTATATTCCTTCTACTTAATAAAAAGAAATAAAAATTAAAGTTTATTATAAAACAGTACACTGTTTTAGTCAGCAGCAGTCTCCTATGTACCCCCCCATTTTGTAAAAATTGATTTGTTTTGAATTTAAGTATATGAGTTTTTGCCTGCATTTGTGTGTGTTCACTACATGCATACCTGGCAACTGTGAAGGCCAGAAGAGAGTGTAGGATTCCCTGGAACTAGAGCTACAGATGGTTGTTAGCCACTGCATGTGTGCTAAGAACTGAACCCAGGTCTCTTCCATGAGCAACAAATGCTCTTAACCACTAAGCCACTGTCCAGGCCCTCATTCTTCTTAAATGTATTGCATCTCTTGACCTTTACCGTCTTACTGTGACGCCTGTAAAATGATGGAATTATCTACTGATACATTTGTCAGACCATACTCCTGTCATTTATACACAAGACCGTGTATGTGTCTGGGAGTGGGGAAGAGGGAATAAAATTAGATCATTTCTTTTGAAAAATTGTTGAACTATTAATCAGATGTTAGATTTCTTAGTTTTATCTTTTATGTAGCTAGTCTTTCCTGTTTCCATTTCTACGTTGGAAAAATAATTCTTTAGGGGGCTAGAAAGATGATCTGTGTTTAAAAAAGCTTGTTGCTCTTCTAGAGAATCTGAGTTTAGTTCCCAGAACCCACACTGGATAGTTCACAATCACCTGTAGCTCCAGTTCCAGGGGATCTGCCCTAAATTCTGGCCTCCACAGGCAGTCATATATGTGCACATTCACACATACACACACACACACACACACACACACACACACACACACACACACATCCCTTTAAAAATCATTTGGGAGAGCTGGAAAAATGGCTCAAGAGTTACGAGCAGTAATTGCTCTATCAGATAACCTAGGTTTGATTCCCAGATGACTCACAACTTTAACTCCAGTTTCCAGATCTGATGCCCTCTTCTGGCCTTTTGGGTACCAGGCATGCATATAGTACAAGGACATAAATGCAGGTAAGATACCCATGCATATTAAATTAAAATAAAATAATTCATTTAGGAGCTGAAGAGATGGCTCAGTGGTTAAGAGAACATACTATTCTTGCAGTTGGGTTCAGTTTCTAACATGTACATCAAGTGGCTCATAACTACCTGTAAGCCTAACTCCAGGAGATCCAACACCCTCTTTTGTTTTCTTAAGGCTCCCTTAAGTGTGTGGTGTGCATACACACAGAAATAAAAGTAAAAGTTAAAGAAATAGGATATGGAAAGATGACTCAATAGTTAGAAATTTACAGACTATGAGCTAAAATACCAGCACCCATGTCAGGCAGCTTACAACCACCTACAACTCCAGCTCCAGGGGATCTAGTGTCCTCTTCTGACTCCTTCAGGCATTTGGAGACTGACACTACATACACATACACACTACACACTACACACACACACACACACACACAGAATTTATTTTAATAATAAAGAAAAAAATGTAAAAAGTTGTTCTATGTCCAGTGTTGATTTCTTTAAGTACTACTGTTAAAATTTACATTAATTATCTTAAAAAATAACTGGAGAAAAACATTTTTAATGCCAACTTCTACTGTTTTAAAGTATTTGCCAGAGTTCTGTGAAATGGATAAAACCAACCTCTTTTCCTTCTCTTTCAAATTGTTTTATTCTGCATATAATTTCCTTTGCTGTCTTCCAGTGCTCTTCAAGATTCTCTTTTTCATTTATGTCCTTTTGTTGGTTGGCTTCATTTTCATCAAAAGAAATGTCTCGTAGACTTAGAGATAATTTCTCAGCTTTGTAATATGGGATGCAGGGGAGGGAGAAATAGGGGAAAGAGAATAGTGAGTTTATCATTACTAGAAATGTTATTGTCACACTTAAAGGACAACTACATATTCCACCCCATCCCATCTTTAATTTGTATATCCATATATAACAACTGGTACTGAAATAAGTGGAAAAAGGGCATAGCAGATGCCTAGGACTTAGTAAAAAATTAGACATGTTATTCCAGATATAAGGTTACTGGCTTTAAAGTAGTTTATTTGGAATACAAGAGTTAAAGTCAGAGTCAGTCACATGCTAAGCATATACTCTGTCACTGAACTACATCTCGAGCCCAAAATAGATTGTTTTGGTTAGTTTTTCATTCATTTGACAGAGTTATCTGGGAAGAGGGAACCTCAACTGAGAGAATATTGTAGCAGATTACATGTAGACAAGTCTCTGGGATATTTTCTTGATTAATGATTGGTGTAGGAAGGCCCGAATCACTGGAGGAGGTTCTATCCCTGGGCAGGTGGACCTGGGTTATATATAAGCAAGTTGACCAAGCTATGTAAGCAGTATTTCTCCATGGCCTCTGAAATCGATTTCTGTTTCCATGTCCCTGTACTTACTTCCCTTTATAATGTACTGTAAGGTGTAAGATGAAATAAATCCTTTCTTCCCTAAGTTGCTTTTGCTCATAATGCTTATTACAACAGTAGAAAGTAAACTAAAGAACATAGATATGCTTAAAGTCTTTTTAAAAATTTATTACGTCCATATTTTTCATTCACAAAGAAATCTTATAGCTATTACCAGCTCTCTGGGCTGCAGCTAGACTGCCCATCAATTCTTTGTCCTCCCTCCTAAACTAGAACCTGTTGCTTAGGCCTGAGTCACTTGCCCATGGAACATTTCCTCTTTTCACATGATTAACTCTAGACATCCAGACTCTGTTCAAGAATTACTTTGAGATAAAAGTCTTACTATGTAGCTTTGGCTGGCCTGGAACTCCTGTAGATACTGGCCTTGAACTCACAGGAAATGTGCCTTCCTCTGCCTCCCAGGGCTAGGATAAAGGTTTAAAGTACCATGTCAAACTAACTGATATTTCCCTAAAGTAACAGTAAACTTACTAATATTTTTGCAGTTGTGAAGTACGTAAGTGGCAGCTCTGCTTAGTTCTTCATTCTTAAATTCACTTAAGGCTTGTATCATTAGTGGAAGCCCATTGCTTTTTAAAAGTTCATACTGATTTTCCTCTGTAAAAATATCAAAAATTAAAATGGTGATTATTTTTTCATAAAGTTTATAAAGCTTTGCATGAGGTCATGATTCATCACTGTGATAAGTATGAACATAATTTAAACTTTAAAATAAAGAATATAATCTCAAAAGTATTTTCAATTTGGTAATCTATTTACAGAAGCTAAGTCTCATAAACAATGATTTCTAAAATGTTGTCACAGTGTACCACACCATATAAGAGTAAACAAATAGGGCTGGAGAAATAGCTCAGCGGTTAAGAACACTGACTGCTCTTCCAGAGGACCCGGGTTCAATTCCCAGCACCCACATGGCAGCTCACAAGTGTCTGAAAATCCAGTTCCAGGGGACCTGACACCTTCACACCAATGCAAATAAAATAAAAGATAAATAAATCATAAATTTAAAAAAAGAGTAAACAAATAGCTCTCATTTGGTTTCAAAAAAATCAAGAGTAGGGAATGGGAAGGTGACCCAGTAGGTAAGAGCACTTGCTGATCTTGCAGAGGACCCAAGTTTGATTTCCAGTACCCACATCAAGTGGTTCATAACCCCTCTGTCTCTAGCCCTCCTCTTTTGGCCTCTGTGGGTGCGCGCACGTGCACACGCGCGCGCACACACACACACACACACACACAACGCATACATGCACACACATACACACGCACACATACATATGCATAAGAAAAACATTCTTAAAAGGTTAAGGGAAAGAATAGAGAAACTGGTAAAGAAAACAAAAATTAAGAACACAGAAGAGAGAAGTGGGAAAGTGAGAGGAAGAAGGGAAATGATTAGAAGAGAGGAGAATGGAGATTGTTTGGAATGATAGCTTAGATTAGAGGGAGACTGGGATGGAAGCAGAGAAAAAAATCTTTGAAAGCTTTCACTGAAGGTTGGGAGAACTGGCCTTTCAAAGCTTTCAGCGAGGGATAACAGGATAAGAATTGTATACCAACTCGAAGAGGACTGGAAGTGGAGAGAGAAGGAGCAGCAGCTAATGGGGCTGCTACAGTCGCCCGGGAGAAAGGTGGCAATGGGCTTGGGTAGTGGGAAGAAGTATGGAATAGGAAAGAGAAGAACAGCCAGAGGCCTCAGTGACTAACTGAACAGAATATGAGAAAGAACATAAGAGCATAAGTGACTGGGAGGAAAGCTGGATTTTAAGCCTTTCGTACAAGAGGGGAAAAGAAGCAAAAGTATGTTTCCACCTACAGTTTTACTACACACACTGAGTTAACTGAATACTCACCACAGTCCTCTGTGCAGTGACCAAGGGCAAGTGTGATGCTGAATTTTTCTCCCAAATCAAGACTTTCATGAAGCAGTAATGACAGAAGTTTTGAAACAATGTGGTATTTGGATAATACCACTGAAAAAGAAGCTACCAGTTTAATACAGGGGGGAAAAAGTACAAGTTTAAAATTTCTAAGTATAAATATATTATGTTTTCAGAGCTTATTTAGGAAAAATATCATATGCCTATATATTACCTAATATATACATATCATGTAGTATAGTACGAAGCTGCTTGTTTGTTTTCCCGGCCACCCAGACTCCCAAAATAATCACACAGAAACTATATTATTTAAATCACTGCTTGGCCAATCACTTAAGTGTATTGCTAGCTAGCTCATCTAGTATTAACCCATTTCTAGTATTTTATATTTTATCATGAGGCTCGTGGCCTACTGGCAAGGTTTCAGCTGTCTTTGGTGGTGGCTCCATGACTTCTGCCCTGACTCTGCCTTTCTTCTCCTAGCAGTCAGTTTAGTTTTCCCCACCTAGCTCTGTTCTACCCTATCAGGCCAAGCAAGTTTCTCTATTAACCAATGGTATTCAAAGCATCAGAGGGGAATCCCCCATCAATGTAGCATCCAATATATATATATATATATACATATATATTAATTTAACTAAATACATTATAATAATATGATGACTTATTATAGTCCTCATTATATATTCTTTTTGTTTTGAGACATGGTTTCTCTATGTAGTTCTGACTGACTTCAAACTCTCTATGTAAACCAGTTTGGCTTCAAACTCAAGAGAAATCCATTCTGTCTTCCTAGATTAAAGGTGTCCATCATCATGACTAGTCTTTTATGAGCTTTATTTATTTTTGGCTTCTTTTTTTGAGGGCTTCTCTTTGTAGTCCTGGCTGTACTGGAACTAGCTCTGTAGACCAAACTGACCTCAAATTCAGAAATTCACCCACCTCTGCCTCCCAAGTACTGGGATTAAAGGCATGTGCCATCACTGCCTGACTTATGTTCTTCTTTTATAATGGTTTCTTCTTAGTTACTTTGCATGATGCTGTAACTATGAATTAATAGTATATTCCTAAAAGGTAAACATACCTACTCTTACCTTACATATCTCCTTCTATCTACATTAGACTGTAAGGGCATTACTAGATAATCAAATCCTGCTTGACATTGAAATATAACACTAAGACACTACTAACATGATGCAATGAAGGTTATATAAACCTGTGATGAACTATAATGAGATTCAAAAAGTTTACTATTAAGTTATACTTTTCCTTATAAGGTATTTGTTTTATTTTTGATTATCTGATATGGGGTCTGACACAGAAAAGGATGACTTTAAACTTATTAAGCAGAGGCTAACCTGGAACTGATCTTCCTGCCTCTATTTTTTTTTTTTTTTTGGACAGGGTTTCGTTGTAGTTTTAGAGCCTGTCCTGGAACTAGCTCTTGTAGACCAGGTTGGCCTTGAACTCAAAGAGATCCCCACCTGCCTCTGCCTCCCAAGTACTGGGATTAAAGGCATGCACCACCACCGCCCAGCCAGTCTCTATTTTTTAAATGCTGGGATTATAGGTATGCACTAGCCTGCATGGTCTTCATAGGGTTTTTAACAGACTTCATCCAGAGTCTGGTATTACAGGCATGAACAATAAAGTTGTGAATTCCTTAAGGAACTGTATCATTTAATTTTTTTAACAATTGCTTATTGTGTTTATGTGTGCATTGCACATGCCATGGTACACACACAGAGATCAAATAGCAGCTTTATCCAGGAGTCAGTTTTCCTTCCACCACGTGGGTTCCAGGATTGAAGACAGATTACCAGGCTTGACAGAAGGAACCTTTGCCTGCTGATACATCTCATGACTGAAGGGAAATATCTCAAATACTTTTATGTCTTGGGGGTTCAGCACACACCAGGTATTCATTAACTGCTTATTAAATAATAAGGGCTGGAAAGATGGCTCAGTAGTTAAGAGAACTTGCTGGTCTTAAAGAAGAAGATTCAGATTAGATTCCGAGCATTGACATGGTGTCTCACAACCACATATATCTCCAGTTCCAGAAGATTCAATGTCCTCTTTTGGTCTCTTTGGGCACTAGGAACACACATGGTATACAAACATTAAGACAAAACACTTATACACATAAAATAAATCTTTAAAACCTTAGCCATCCACGAGTCTGGGACCTCTGAGGGGGTAGGCCTGAGCCAGGACCTCTGTGGTTCCGGGCGTTGGTCTGGTACGTCAAAGGGGTTAGTCAGGAACCAGAAACCTCTATGGGTCCAGACATGAGTCTAAGGCCTCAGAGGGAGTAGGCCTGAGCCAGGTACTCTGCGGGTCTGGCCGCACTCGAGTCTGGAACCTCTGAGGGAGTAGATCAGAACCAAAGACCTTTGCAGGACCAACCCCAAGCCAAGGACCTCTGCAGGAGCAGATCCAGATCAGGATGTCTACAAAAACAGGTCTGAGCTGGCAACCTAGGCCAGAGCAGGCCTGAGACAGCAAATCCATGGGAAGGGAACAAAGCTCAGGAGCGCTGAGCGACTTCAAGAAACGCACAGTGACCAACTAAAACAGATTGTACCTAGAGGAACAACCATCTGAGCCTTGGATTCACTGGCACCTAGAAGATTAATCACCAGAATCACAGACAGGCCCAATCATACCTATTAGAGGAAAAGATGAATAGAAAAGGTAAGAACACATGCAACACAACACTAGTAAAATCTAGAGATCCTACAACAGCAAGACTTGAACAACCAAATATACACGAAGCAGAAGAAAATGACCTAGAAAATAACTTCAGGAGAATGTTTGAAACTCAAAGAGGAAATGAGAAATTATCTCAAAGAAATGGAGGAAAAGACAAACAAAAAATTGGAAGACATCAGCAAATCTCTTAAAGAAAACCAATAAAAAGCAATCAAATATATGAAAGAAACTATTTAAGACTTGAAAACTGAAGTAGAGACAATAAAGAATTATAGAAACAGAAATCATGAGAAAATAATCAGTAACAAACGCAAGCATAAACAGTAGAATACAAGAGATGGAAGAGAGAATCTCAAGTGCTGAAGATACAATAGAGGAAATAGACACATCAGTCAAATAAAACATTAAATGTAACAAAAGCTTAACCCAAAATATCCAGGAAATATGGGACACCATGAAAAGACCAAACCTAAGAATAGGTATAGAAGAAGGAGAAGAGGACTGGAGAGATGGCTCAGAGGTTAAGAGCACAGCCTGCTCTTCCAAAGGTCCTGAGTTCAATTCCCAGCACTCACATGGCAGCTCACAGCTGTCTGTAACTCCAGTTCCAAGGGATATGGTACCCTCACACAGACATAAAGGTGGACACATAAAATGAATCTTTAAAATAAAAATAAAAATAATTATAAAAAAAGGAGAAGAAGGTCAACGCAAAAGGACAGAAAATATATTTAACAAAATCATAGAAGAAAACTTTCCCAACCTAAAGAAAGATATGCTTATGAAGATACAAGCTTACAGAACACAAAACAGACTGAATCAAAAAAAAGTCCCTCGTCACATAATAATCAAAACACTAAACATACAGAATAAAGAAAGAATATTAAGAGCTGCAAAGGAAAAAGGCCAAATAACATATAAAGGCAGACCTATCAGAATTACACCTGACTTCTCATTGGAGACAATGAAAGCCAGAAGGTCAAGTATTATTTTTTTAAATTTATTTATTTATTATGTATACAATATTCTGTCTGTGTATATGTCTGCAGGCCAGAAGAGGGCACCAGACCTCATTACAGATGGTTGTGAGCCACCATGTGGTTGCCAGGAATTGAACTCAGGACTTTTGGAAGAGCAGGCAATGCTCTTAACCACTGAACCATCTCTCCAGCCCCCAAGGTCAAGTGCTATACAGATATTAAGAGACCACGGATGCCAGCCCAGATTATTATACCAGCAAAATTTTCAGTCACCATAGAAGGACAAAACAATATATTCCATGACAAAACCAGATTTAACCAATACCTAGCCACAAACCCAGCCCTACACAAAGTACTAGAAGGAAAACTCCAACCCAAGCAAGTTGGCTACATCAACAAAAATACAGACAATTGATGGTCTCATAGCAGCAAATCCCAAAGAGGAAAAACACACAAATTAACATCACCAAACAACAAAAACTAAATTAACAGGAGATAGCAATTACTGGTCATTAATATCCCTTAGGATAAATGGACTCAACTCACCTTTAAAAAGGCACAGGCTAACAGATTGGATACAAAAACAGAATCCATCCTTCTTCTGCATACAAGAAACACACCTCAACCTCAAAGATAACATTATCTCAGAGTAAAGGATTGGGAAAAGATTTTCCAATCAAATGGACCTAATAAACAATAGACTTCAAACTAAAAATCAATCAAAAAAGACTAAAAAGGACAATTTACATTAGTCACAGGAAAAATCCATCATCAAGAGGAAATTTCAATACTGAACATCTATGCCCCAAATACAAGGGCACACTCATAGTCAAAGAAACACTTCTAAAGTTTAAACCATACATTAAACCCCACACACAAATAGTGGGAGACTTCAACACTCCACTCTCACCACTGGACAGGTCAGTCAGACAAAAAATGAACAGAGAAATAAGGGAACTGACAGATGTTATGACTCAAATGAACTTAACAGACATCTATAGAATATTCCATCCAAACAGAAAAGAATATACCTTCTTCTCAGCACCTCATGGAACATTCTCAAAAACGGACCACATACTCGGAAAAAAAACAAACCTCAACAAATAAAAAAAAACTGAAATATCAAATAACCATGGCTTAAAACTAGAATTCAACAGCAATACTAATTCCAGAAAGCCCACAAACACATGGAAATTAAACAATGTTCACCTGAATTATCAATGGGTCAAGGAAGAAATAAAGGGAGAAATTAAAGACTTCCTAAAATTCAATGAAAATGACCACGCAACATACCTGAATTTGTGGGACACAATGAAAGCATTGTTAAGAGGAAAGTTCATAGCACTAAATGCCTACATAAAGAAGCTGGAAAAATCCCACAATAGTGAATTAACAGAACATTTGAAAACTTTAGAACAAAAAGAAGCAAACTCACCCAAGAGATCTAGACAACATGAAATAATCAAATTGAGAGCTGAAATCAACAAAATAGAAACAAAGAAAACAATACAAAGAATCATAGAGACAAAGAGTTGGTTCTTTGAGAAAATCAACAAAATAGACAAACTTTCATCCAGACTAACCAAAAGGCAGAGAGAGAATATCCAAATTAAGAAAATCAGAAATGGGGCCGGGCGGTGGTGGCACACGCCTTTAATCCCAGCACTCGGGAGGCAGAGGCAGGCGGATCTAGGTGAGTTCGAGGCCAGCCTGGTCTACAAGAGCTAGTTCCAGGACAGGCTCCAAAACCACAGAGAAACCCTGTCTCAAAAAACCAAAAAAAAAAAAAAGAAAATCAGAAATGAATCCCACGAGTGCTGGGATTAAAGGTATGCCTCACCATACCTGTTTATAAATTCCCACACTTTAACTTTACAAATTGATTCTAAGATTTACATTGGTAAGAGTCATGAGCAATCATACCACAAGGACATGTGCTCAACTACGCTCATAGCAGCATTATTTATCATAACCAGAACCTGGAAACAACTTAAATGCTCCTTGACCAAAGAGTGGATAAAAAAATTGTGGTACATTTACACAATGGAGTACTATACAGCAGAAAAAATAATGACATCTTAAAATTTGAAGGCAAATGAATGGAGCTAGAAAACATCATATTGAGTGAGTTAACCCAGACCTAGAAATACAAATATAATATGTACTCACTCATAAGTGGCTTTTACACATAAAGCCAAGAAAAACCAGCCTACAAATCTCAATCCCACAGAACCAAGACAACAATGAGGACCCTAAGAGAAACATACATGGATCTAATTTACATGGGAAGTAGAAAAAGACAGATCTCCTGAGTAAATTGGGAGCATGGGGTCCTTGGGAGAGGGTTGAAGGGGAGGGAAAAGGTAGGGAGGGGAGTAAATGTAGAGCTCAATAAAAATCAACAAAAACCCAAACAAAACAACTCAGCCATCTACTTTTCGGGTTGTTTGTATAAAGGGTTCCTCATGACAAGTATTTACAGACTATCAATTCTGAGTGTACCAATGAGAAGCAGATGTGTTCTAGACCTGGTTCTACTGCTCTCTCGTGCACTAGGTATGTGAGACATCACCCTCATCACAAAGGCATGCTTTAATTGTTTTTAAGTATTATGTATACGTATTTGTCTCTAGATAAGTAGATGCCACATGTGTGCAGGTTCTTGCAGAGGCCAGAAGGTGCTGGGTCCCCTGGAGCTGGAGTTGCAGGTGGCTGTGAGCTGCCCAACTTGGGTGTTGGGAGATAAACTTAGGTCCTCTGGAAAAGCAGCAAGAGATTTTAACTGCTGAAGCACCTCTATAGCCTAACTTTAATTATTTACATAATTCCTAAAATTTTGTGCATTGGGTTTTTCAATATCGCAGTGTCTTGGTTTGTCATCTAAATTTTTTTTTTAAGAAAAATTGTTTCTTTTCAGACAAGGTCTCACTCTGTTACTATGGCTTGCCTGGAACTCAAGAGATCCACCTGCTTCGCCTCCCAAAAGCTGGAATTAAAGGTGTGCACCATAACATCTTGCTAAAACAGCTTTTTAAGTGAAATAAACTTAAGAATAATAGGATTTTATTTTGACTCTCTTATTAGACCTAAAGTCAAAAGACTTAAATGTGCTTCCTTAGGGCACATAACTTCTGATGGGAAAATAAGGAACCGGACAAGGTAATTTCAAAGATTCCCTTCCATTTGTAAGAAGCTGGAAATTTTGTCAACAATAGTATCTAACATAGAATTTCAACATTCACCATGTTCAGTTCAAACAGAGTTCAATTATAGAAAATTGATTAAGATTTTCACTCACAATTATTAGTAATGCACGCATCTAAGGTCTTTGTCACCATCACTGCAAGTTTTGCACTGAAAAAAGTATTGTGAGAATCCAACTCCAGCTGCACGAGAACTTGAGACAAAACATCCAGTCCACCAGAAGATACAAAGCAGTTCTGGACATGTGCTTAAACAATAAAGTAGCAAAACCATTAATTTCTCAAAAAAAGCAGGTAATAGTTTCCTACAAATATTTCATATTAAATACTTTTAATATGGCTTTTCAAATACTGAAACTCCCCAAAATTGCAGAATTAAAAGTTCAACTTTCATCTATATATGTATACACACACACACACACACAAACAAACATAGTAACACCTCCCCTCGACACAGGACAAAATTTTCTTTTTTTTCTTTTTTCTTTTTCTTTTTTTTTTAGTTTTTTGTCCTAGAACTAGCTCTTGTAGACCAGGCCAGCCTTGAACTCACAGATATCTGCCTGCCTTTGCCTCCCAAGGGCTGAAATTAAAGGTGTGCTATACCACCACTGCCCAGCAACACAGGACAATTATATGTGTAGTAGGATTAGTAGGATAGTGCTCTGTTTTGTGTAGGAGAGCTTTTATTTCATTTCTGAAAATTGGTATGCTCTATGATATGATTAAATTATCTTTCATAACTATTAAACAAGTATTTTAATAGCGCTATAAAGAATAGATCAGTAGGAGCAGGAACAAGTAGTCTAGGCCTATCATCTTAGCATTGTGAAAGCAGAGGCAAAAAGATAATGAGTTGTAGCCTAGGATTACAGCAGGACCCTAACAACATGATACCAATGAAAGAACACATTCATTCGTTTATCTTGACATTATAGTCAGCAATTACTTTCTAAATTCCAATGTAACTGATATCACAGATTGTTTTACTCTATAAATGACAATGTGTTTCACTGTTTCAAAATCACATATGCATCTTTTTTTTTTTTTTGAGAAACAAGTTTTTTCTATGTAGTCCTAGCTGTCCTGGAACTCACTATGCAGACCAGGCTGCCCTTGAACTCACATTCCCAAGTGCTGGGATTAAAGGTGTACACTACCACACCTGGCCACATAAGCCTTTTATTTATACCTAATTATTTTCCTTCTTGGACCACAAAATTCTAATATATTATTTAGTAAAGATTCCATGACATATATATATATATACATATATATATATATATATACACACACACATACATACACACACATACATACCAAAATGTATGTTTATATATTTTATGTTATTGAAGTATATTTTTGAGCCAAGGTCTTACTATTTAGCCCAGACTGGCTTCACTCTTAAGATTCTCTAGCTGCTTCTCCCCAAGCTGAAGCTCTGAAGTCAGTATCTCTATAGCTCTTATCCTAGAAACAGGCTTATGACCAATGGTGATGAGGCTAGTAGTTAAAATCCTGCCACAAAACTTTTTCCTAGTTTAGCCTAGTTCCAAGGACGATGATTTAAAAGCCAAGATGATTAAAAGAAAAATTATCTTGTAAATAAAAGATATAGTAACATAAAATAACGTCACATCCAGAATTTAACATTATTTACTTATTTATTGGTGCTAGTGACTGAGTCAGATCTGTATACACAGAACATAAGCACTCTACCACTGAACTACATCTCCCACCACCCCTTTCCAAAAACATATTTTGTGTTTATTCAATTATGTAATGAACTTTGTTTTTGGAGACAGCCTCATGTAGTCTAGGGTGGCACTATTAAGATTACCTTATAGTTCTTTCTAACCAGTGATTATGGTTTCATAAGGTTAAAGCAATCTTGCACTCCTTTGAGACAGGCCACTGATTATAATGTATTATCTTTTCTCCATATGGTTAGATTGTTAGAAAATACTTTTTGAGCTCAGACTAGCCTGAACTTCATTATGTAGATAGACTAAAACTGGTGACAAATCATTCTGATTTGCACTTTAATTTAGCACTATTATTTAGCCTAATAATAATAATATTATTAAATATTATTATATCTAGGGCTGGGACTGTAACTCAGAATTGGTTAGAATCTAGCATACATAAATCAGTGAGTTCAACTCCTAGCACCACATAAAACAGGAATGCACATTTGGTGGATAGAGGCAGGAAGTTCAGGAGTTCAAGGTTATCGTACTGGCTACGTAGAGAATTTTAAGTCAACCAAATTATATGAGGCTCTGTCTCATATAAACAAATAGTATCTTTATATCTATGCTCATAATAGATATTGACCTATAATTTTGTTGTAATGCCTTCTTTCAATTTGGGTATAATGCTAGTCTTATAGAATGTTTTCAGAAGTGCTTCTTCCACTTCTATCTCTAGGAATAATTTATTAGATTTTTGGGGGGGCTTTTTTCCCTGAAATGGTTGGTAGAATTCACCAGTAAAATTACCATGCTTTGAGATTCTCTTCTGTTTATTACAGCTTTAATTTATGAATCCTGTTACTTTTTTTTTTCTTTATGTTTTTTTCAGAGACAGGGTTTCTCTGTGTAACAGTCCTAAGTGTCCTAGAACTCACTTTGTAGACCAGGCTGGCCTCACACTCACTGAGATCTGCCTGCTTCTGCCTCCCAAGTACTGGGATTACAGGCATGCACTACCATGCCCAGTGAATTCTGTGTCTTTGAAAAAGAACTATGGCTGGGCAGTGGTGGCGCACGTCTTTAATCCCAGCACTCGGGAGGTAGAGGCAGGTGGATCTCTGTGAGTTCGAGGCCAGCCTGGTCTACAAGAACTAGTTCCAGGTCAGGCTCCAAAGCTACAGAGAAACCCTGTCTCGAAAAAAAGCTAAAAAAGGGGGAGGGGGGAGAAGAACTATGGAGTTGGGTGTGATGGCACACACCTGTAATCTCAGCACTTTGGAGGTGGAAGGGAAGAACCAGTTTAAGGCCAACCTCAGCTATGCTGTAAATTCAAGACTAGTCTGAGCTACATCAATCCCTGTCTTGAAAAAATAACAAACATGGGGCTGGAGAGATGGCTCATTGGTTAAGATTACTCGCTCCTCTTGATGGGAGGGGACGTTGGTTCACTTTCCAGCACCCACAAGTTCCCAGCACTCACCACTATAACTCCAATTCCAGGGCATTTACACCCTCTTCTGGTTTCCAAAGGCACTGCACACATGGACATACAGACAAACACTCATACTCATAAAAATTAAGAAAACAAACTTCAAACATAAATAAAAAATAAAAAAGGACGACAACAACAAAAAAACCAGAGGAATATTCAAGTTACCTATTTCTTTTGAGTAAGTTCTAGTAATTTCTATATTTTAAAGCATTTGTCCAATTCATTAGAATTGTCTAGTTGTATGGTATAAAACTGTTTATACTATTATTTTGTTAAACTACGGTAAGTCTTGAGTGAGGGGTGGAGAGCTGGCTCAGCAGTTAAGTTAAGGCCATCCTGGTCTACAAGAGCTAACTAGCTCCAGGACAGACCCCAAAGCTACAGAGAAACCCTGTCTCAAAAAAAAAAAAAAAAACCAAAAAAAAAAAACTAGGAAACAAAATATAGGGTGATGTCACTTTTCTTGGTATTTTAGATTGATAATTTAGATCTTCTCAAGGGGGGATGGGTTGGGGTTAAAGATAGTGCATCACACTGTAGCCTAGTCTGGCCAGAAACTCACAATATACGTAACCCAGGCTAGCCTTGAACTTTCAGCAATCCTTATCTCTCAGCTTTCCACAACCTCCAGAAATCCAATTTTTAATAACCACATATTTGACTATCAGCCATCTTTTCAGGGTTTTTTTGTTCATTTATTTGTTTAAAATTGTATTAATGTTCTGACCAGGGAAGCATTATCAGTGCTTTGCTCAGCCATCAGCAGAAAAGCTTTCTCCGACAGATGAGAAGAAATACAGAGACCCACAGCCAGACACTATGCAAAGAGTGAGAGACTTTGAATATTCAGCCCTAATTGGGATATCTTTATCAAATCTCCCTCACCCCAGGGCTCAGGAAATCCCTAGGAAAAAGTGGTGGAAAAAATATAAGAGCCAGAGAGGATGAAGGACACCAAGAAAACAAGGTCTCTAAATCAAAATGAGCAAGGCTCACAGAGACTGAGGCAGCCTGTCTCAGCTAGGTCTGAGCTAGGTTCTCCGAATATATACTATGGCTTCTAGTTTAGCATTTTTACAGGATTTCTGAGTATGAAACCAAGTGGGTCTCTGATTCTTGTGTCTTCTCTTGGATTCTTTTCCTCCTGTTTGTCATGCTCAACTCTGATATGATAGTTTTTTCTTTATCTTATATATTTTAATTTTTTAAAAGAATATTACTTAAATTTTAAAAATTGTATTTATTATAATGGAGTTGTGAGTGTGGATGTTGTGTGTGGCTGTGTTTGTGTGTGTGTGTAAACATACATGTACTATAGCGGTCAGAGAACAATTCTGTGGAGTCAGTTCTCTCCTTGTATCTTTACGTAGGTTCTGAGGACCAAATTTGAATCATCAGACTTGGATCATACTGAATGGCAAGAGTTTTTACAGATTGAGCAATCTCACTGGCCCCAATTTTCTTTTCATTTCTAATCTAATTCCATTTTGACCAGATCGTATATCCTATGGGGTTTTAGTTTTGTCATTTCATTGCTCTGTTTCATGACAGTATTTAGGAAGGCACAAAACAAACCAAACTATACTGCAGGATGGGGATAGTGGTACATATTTATATTACCAAAACTTAGGAGGTGTGGGAAGAAGGAGCATGAGCTCAAGGTCATCTTTAGTTATATAGAGAGATCTACAAGTCAGTCTGGGCTACAGGAGACTATTCTCAAACCCCACCTCCCAAGGAACAACTATGCTGCTGTCACCATCTTTCCAATGTCCTCCCAATAATACCTAATTCCAAGATTTTCTTATCTTCAAAAGTCTAGCCAAGAACTCAAGGCAGAGGCAGGTCAGTATCTACTTGAGGCCAGCCTGGTTCTAGAACAGCGAGTTCTAGGCAGCCAGCTTATTCAGTGAGACCTATCTCAAACAAAACAAAGCCATCGAACTATACCCCAAATGGTCCAGATTAGAAGCACCAAAATCACTAATTGAATTTAACAGTTTTTTATTTTATTTTAAAATAGAGTTCTTAAAGTTAAAATCTAGAAAATAACGAATACTTACTATTATTTGCAAGAGTAAGTCCAATAAATGAGCATATAGGGCGAATTACCTCAGGTTTCATACAGTTCACTAGCCATTCATTCACATACGGAAAAAGTGAACAACAAAGCATTTGATTCTCATCTGAAAAGAGAAAAGCCAACGATGTTTTAATTTGACTTTTGCAAAATATCAGTCACATTTGTTTTTATATTTGTATTTAAATAGGTGAAATAATTACCATTTTGAGGATTGTTGACACAGACACACAAAGTACTGCACACTGAAGACCACAGCAGATAACTCTGGAAAACATTATTATCTGACAAATTCAACTCATAATTTGAAAGAACTGTCCTATTGGGTTAAAAAGAAAAGATAATAAATTATTACTAATTTATTACTAATTTAGCACCAATGTCCTAAACAATGAAATAAGAAGATATTTATTTACTTACCTGAACAACTGTGACAGAACTTCAATACAACCTGTTTCTCTTATAAGCGTTTGTCCATTCCCTTAAAAAAATAGCCATGTTACATGAATGACTTTTATTTAGAAATAATTTTATAGAAATTAAGATATTTAAAAATATTTTAATTAGCTTTCAAGCTACTTTAAAGCACTATAAAGTATACAGAATTACAGTAGGAAAAAAACTTATAATCAAGGGGTTGGAGAGATGGCTCAGCAGTTAAGAGCACTTTCTGTTTTTGCAGAGGACCTGGGATCAATTCCCAGCACCCACACAGTGGCTTAACATCTCCAGTTCCAAGGGATCTGATGCTCTCTTATGACCTTTGTGGGTAACAGGTACACACAGTTAGTGTACAGACATACATATAGGCAAAACATTCACACACATAAAATTTTGATTTTTTAAAATTTTTAACCAGTTTTATTATGAAAAATATATTATGCTCAGCAACTTACAGCAGTCAGTTTTCCTCTAAAAATAACAAAATGCTTAAGTTATAGTTCTGTTACAATATTAAAAGAATCTTCAAAGTAGAAAAAATACAAATCTTTTTCAGGTTTTCGAAACTAGGAAAAAAATCTAGAAGTAATTCAAGTACCTAACATTTTCAAGAATTAAATGAAGCAAGTTTTAAAAAATGAAGGGATTGGGGAGATAGCTCAGTCCGTAAAGTGGCAGTATAAGGAACTGAGTTTGATTTCCAGTACCCATATAAAAACTAAATAAAAATCCAGGCACCGGAGCTTGTGTCTGATCCCTGGGGCTTGCTGGGCAATCAGTCAAATTGGAAAGCCCCAGAGACTGTCTCAAAATAAATAAATAAATAAATAAAAGAAAGTGAAAATTGATTGAGGAAGGTACCCAACATCAACAACTTCCAGTTTCTACACCAAGCACACACATACACACGCATATGTACAAACATACACATGCAAAGTCCTAACTAGGTATACATGAACACTTTATACTATAGTTTCGACTTCTCAGTAAATCTAAAATTATCCCAAAATAAACACGGTCTAATATAGTAAACCTTGTAACAAAATGATCAATTCAGGGAAAAGTTAACCAATTCATTAAACACTTGTTTTTCTTTTTAAAGATTATGTAGTATAAATAATGTCACTATTTCTTTTCTTTTCTTTTTCGGTTTTTCGAGATAGGGTTTCTCTGCAGCTTTGAAGCTTGTCCTGGAACTAGCTCTTGTAGACCAGGTTTGCCTTGAAATCACAGAGATCTGTCTGCCTCTGCCTCCCAAGATCTGGGATTACAGGCATGCGCCACCACCGCCTGGCTCACTATTTCTTAAAATTAACAAATATCAATGATTAAATGCTTATTATTAATTCATTTCTTAGAGCTCATATCTCTTGCATGTTAATGAGATTGAAAAGCCATTAATACATTTGACAAGCAGAAGCAGGTGGATTTCTGTAGTCAACATAGTGAAATTGTCTCAAAAAAGGCACTAATATAACAAGAATGACTAGACTAAAGTATTAATGACTATTCCAAAATATATTAAAATGTTTTTAAACATTCATAAAAGATATACTTACTATTATTTGAAACCAGAACCAAAAGAACATAGATGGACATTCTTTTCAAATTTATGTTTGAATCATCATTAGATAAGAGCAAAATTAAATCTTGAAATAATTCTGAAGTACACAAAGTTTGCTGGCAGTAAACTGAAACATAAAATACAATTTTCATTTTAATATATTAGCACAAAAATACACTGAACAAAATAAAAAGTTGTCAAACTGGGGATGTTTCTTAACTAGATGTCATTTAATTGACATATATTAGAAACAATAAAAATCTATGAAAACTTGATATGCTCTTAACAGAATAAATTAGCAATATTAAAAAAAATTAATTAAATCTATTTATTTACTTGTCTATGTGTACATGCACATGAGTGTGTGTGCCCACCCGCAGATGCAGACATACCACAGTGCTCTTACAGATCATAGGACAACTTATGGAAGTTAGTTCTCTCTTCCCTTCATATGAGTTCCACACATCAAACCCAGGCAAGAGCTTTTAACTACTGAGCCATCTAGCCAGTCCCAAGCAAGTAATATCTCAATCAAAATGACTTGGTCCAAAGTAAACATTTAAATACCCTAGAATTGCCAATAAAATCCTAACCAAATAAAAAATGAAAATCAAACCAAGTAGAAGTGAAGAGTGAGGCCAAATGAGAAGACTACGTAAAAACAAAGCAAGAAAAAAAAACTTCAAAAAATTCAGATATCTGCTTTGGAAAAGAGAGGGACAAGCAATATTACAATATTTATGATATTTTTTCTTTTTCTTTCTTTTTTTTTTCTTTTTTGGCTTTTCGAGACAGGGTTTCTCTGTAGCTTTGGAACCTGTCCTGGAACTAGATCTTGTAGACCAGGCTGGCCTTGAACTTACAGAGATTTGCCTGCCTCTGCCTCCCTAGTGCTGGGGTTAAAGGTGTGCGTCACCACCACCACCCGGTCTTTATAATATTTCTTAAAACAGTTGGAAGTGCAAAAGTCTTTCAAAGTTCAAAAATAACACTAGGCATGCTGCAATCCCAATACTTAGGAAGCAAAACAGGAGAACTATGCATTCAAGGCTAGCCTGAGCTTTATGGTGACCTTGACTCAAAAAAGAAAAAAAAACTCATAGGAAACAAACAAAATAACCCTAAAAATTGAAGTTAAGCCAGGTGTGTTGGCATTCACCCTTAAATAAAGAGAAAAAAATTTAAATACTTATAAAAATAAAATTTTGTATTTTACCATTTTCTTCTGCAATAGATCCTAATGTATATAAGGCTGCTTCTTTTACCATGCTATGCTCACTTGATTTTGCAAGACTTTCAACAAACATCAAACCACCAATTTCCCGGAAATAAACACCTGCATCACCTGTAGGGTTTTCAGATAAAACAAGATAGAAATTTTAATTACTTTGATTATTCTGTTAAGAATAAAAGACCAAATGAATAAAGTAATATAACATATACATTGAGTAGAAGAGAAACAGTCATGCATATTAATATAGTAGAGTATTACGAAACTGGAACCAGAGTGGGTTGTTGCTATGGGACAATGGTCTATACCCTGTCAATTATATTTTAATAAAATGCTGATTGGCCAGTAGCCAGGCAGGTAGTATAGATGGGGTGACCAGGCAGGAAGTAGAGACATGGCAAGGACAACAGGAAAATTCTGGAAATAGGAAAGAGTCAGTCTGCAGTCATCACCAAGACACAGAGGAAGTCAAGCACAGAGGTAGCAAGATGTGACTGCCTTGCTGAAAAAGGTACCAAGCCATGTGGCTAACACAGACAAGAATTATGGGCTAATATAAGTTATAAGAGTTAATAAGAAGCCTGAGCTACTAGGCCAACCAGTTTATGACTAATATAGACCTCTGTGTGTTTATTTGGGACTAAGTGGCTGTGGGACCTGGTGGGACAGAAACATCAGTCAACAGGTTGTGGGGGTACATGCATGAAATCCCTATGCTGCGGAGACTGTCAGGCAGATCAAGACTTTGAGACCAGCTTGTGTTACATGAGGAAATGAGATGAATGACACCAAAAGGAAGGAGAGAGGGAGAGGCAAACATAGAGAGAGACGGAGTGAAGGAAGGAGAAGAATGGCAAGAGAAAAGAATAGAAAAAATAATGGAATTATGAATAAAGTTCATTATGATGTCTTACTGTTTTGTTTACAAATGGAATGGATAGTGATCAAAACTTCTTTTTGTGACAAAGGGTTGCCCATGTGATACTTCAGACATTCCAACAGTAAGTTCAGGTCAGTCTTCATTTCTACTGGAGAAAAATTATTTTAAAAGCAAAGTTTTCTTTCAAAGACTAATAATTCAAATTCTATTTCATAATTATACACCTTTGAAATGCTTGCTTTTTTAAAATAATATTTACTTTATAATCTAAGAAAGATACATTAAAATATGTTAAGTAAACTGATATTTTAAATGAAAATACAACATACTAGAATTTATAGGAAGCTAATGAAGCAGTATTTATGAGGAAATTCCAAGTACTAAATGCCTATGTTAGAAAAGAAAATGGTTCCTAACTCAATGACCTTAGCTTTCACCTTAAGAAACTAGAAAACAAGCAAATTTAGCTGAAAGTAAGCAAGAAAAAAATTATACAGACAAAAGCTGAAATCATGAAACAGAAAAAGGAAAGAGAGTGGGGCCAGAGAGATGAATCGGTGGTTAAGAGCACTGGCTGCCTTCCAGAGGAATGAAAATGAATGAATGAATGAAATTTATTCCCTGGCAATGCTGAAGCCTATGTGCACAGTACTTATATGGCAGTTCTGTTGAACTTGTCCATATTGGATTTTATGGTCTAAGTTGGTGAGGACAACTAACCAAGTCTCTTCCTCAAGAACACACCAGATCTCATTACAGATGGTTGTGAGCCACTATGTGGTTGCTGAGAATTGAACTCAGGACCTTTGGAAGACCAGGCAGTGTTCTTACTTAACCACTAAGCCATCTCTCCAGCCCTCCAGAGGACACGGGCTTAATTCCCAACATCCATATGACAGTTCACACTGTCTGTAATCTAATCTCTGGGAATTATGCCATCTTCTGACTTCACTCAGACATCAGGCATGCACATGCAAGCAAAACAAGTACACACATAAAAATAAATTTAAAAATTAAAAAGAAATGGGGCTGGAAAGATGGCTCACAGGTTAAGAGCATTGGCTGCTCCTCTGGAGGTTCTGAGCTCAATTCTCAGCAACCACATGGTGGCTCACAACCACCGGATCTCTGCAAGTTTGAAGTCAGCCTGGTCTACAGATCAAGTTCCAGGACAGCAGGACTGTTACATAGAGAAATCCCGTCTCAAAAAATCAAAACCAAAACAAAACAAAAATAATAAAAGACAAAAAATTAAAAAACTCAGGGTGAGGCCCCTTAAAAGTTAGGAAGTAAATAACCTAGAACTTCAGGAAGTCCCTGAAACTAACCTGCTGTGCTAGGCCCCTCCTTGCTCAAGGTTATTTAAAGGGTAAGGACTGCTGACCAAAACACCAGACCAAAAGCAATGCTTCAAAGAAGCTTAGACCAACTAAACTGCCTGGAAGAGATATTTTCCAACCTGTCAAGCTGCCTGTGACTTTCATGAGCTGTCACCTGTATTGTAAGTAACTGCACTCACATGCCTACAAGGAAGCCAGTAGACTCACTGGCAAGCTGGACAAGGTGGACCTGGTGACATCTTTACTTTTGGTCTATTGGCAATTCCTTGTCTGGGGTAAGCAATAGTTCCCCCAGAAATAATTTCATTTATGTGAGTTGATGAATGATTCTTTCATTTTCTAGAGGCTGTTAGAGATGATACACACACACACACACACACACACACACAAACAAACATACTCACAACTGCACAACTATAAAATACATAAAACTAACCTAATCACATGATTCATGGATTTCTCACCTTGTATTTTCTTTGTATTCTCACTTTCCATGCTTGTCATTTTTCCTTACATCTCATCAAGAAGATAGGGTATTTTTAGTTAGATCAGCTTCTAAGAAGTATTCTGGGCAGTATGCTTGCTTCAGTAGCACATATACTAAAATTGAAATGATACAGAGATTAGAATGGCTCCTTCACAAGGATGAGTGAGACATAAATTCATGAAGTAGTCCATGTTAAAAAAAATTTGAAAGAATGAAATATTGTGGGCATGATGGTGCATGTCTTTAATCTTCAGGCAGGAAAGGGAGTGGCAGGAGGAGGATGAGTCTTGAAGACTCAGGAATAAAATATAGAAATAAAGGATCCAGTCCAGCAATATAGAAATATAAAGCTGTAAGCCCAAACACATTTTGGGAGAAAAAAATAAATAAAACTGGCAGCCACTGTTAATCTTTAACACTTTCTGCCTTAAGAGCAGACATCCTGGCAGCCACTGTGTACAGATGTAAAAAAAATTTTTTTTTTTTTTGCTTGTTCAAGACAGGATCTCTCTCCCTCCCAAGTGCTGGGATTAAAGACACGCCACCACTGCCTGGCCAGATGCAAACTTTTAACAACTGTCTCCTGCCTCCTAGCTTCCCAGCTAGGCAGGTACTGGGGACAAAGTTAGCTTCTAATTATTATGGGACCCTCTGCTTCTATTCCCTTAATTTTTATCTGTCCCACTAGGTGACTCTACTCTCTGCCTTGCATTCTTCTAGGGACAGTGAAAGTGAAAAGCAGCTGTGTCAGCCACAGGCTTTCACAAATATCCTAAAGTTAACACCCTATCTCCAGAGGTTGGGTTTTTTTGTTTTGTTTTGTTTTGTTTGTTTGTTTGTTTTGTTTTTCGAGACAGGATTTCTCTATAGCTTTGGAGCCTGTCCTGGCATTAGCTCTTGTAGACCAGGCTGGCCTCAAACTCACAGAGATCCGCCTACCTCTGCCTCCCAAGTGCTGGGATTAAAGGCGTGCGCCACCACCACCCGGCCAGAAGTTGTAAAACTTAAAATGTAATATGACTTTAAGTCTGACCTCAAGTTGTAAAAGTTCTTTGACCCCACCCGGTGCTTGATTTTACTATAAAAAGAGGCTCAAAACCAGCCCCCATTGCCACAACGATACAAGCTCATCTGGCTGTGGTCACAACTACAGCTGATTAGGTTTCTGTGCCCCATGGTGATATTTTTTTTTTCTGGAATAAAGCTTGCTTCTGGTTGAATATACTTTGGCTGTCTGTCCAATTCCTCATGTTGTGGTGACCCCAACCATAAAATTATCTCGTTGCTACTTCACAACTGTAATTTTGCTGCTGTTATGAATCGTAATGTAAATATCTGATATGCAACCCAAGGGGGTCACGACCACAGATTGAGAACCCATTCTCCAAAACACTAAGGTCAAGCACTAACTTTATAAGGAAAACTAGTAGAGAAAATAAATAAGAAAAGTAGTTGAGTATTGGCTTTGCACCCCTCTTTGGTCGTAGGGATGGAAGTCAAGATAGAATCTATCATTAAGCGGCACTATTGACTTTCTGCTTCAAAAGTTTAAAGGGCCTGAAATAAGTCATTCAGGTCCCAGAAAATACTGAGGGCAGCAGGAAGCAGATGGATGAAATGGGGGGGGGGGGGGTT